CGCTACCTCCCTGCAGCAGGCACTGGATACCCGCTTGGGCGATTAAATATTTTGCAAAGAAACTCCTCCGCATTTGAAGGAAGGGGGGAACATTTAGGTTCCTAGACTCCTGGAAGCAATCTTAGCAGCAATCCTAATAATGGAAGACAGTCGAAAGCTAAAAGCCCTGTCGAGGTGCAACGCTGAGCATATCCCAAGTCTGCCGGCTCTGGGTGGAAGCTGAAGCCCTCCACCCCAAGTCCGCCGGCTCTGGGTGGAAGCTGAAGCCCTCCACCAACCTCCAGAAACTCTGAGGTGGAGATGCTTCCCTGCCGAAAAGGGTCAGCAGTGCAGCCTGCGTTAGGGGGAACTGAGCCCTGATGGGAGAGGTCTCCAAGTATTACCGATTGCACTTCAGCGTCCACTATCTTAGTTGTCAAGCATCTTCCATCCCCCCTGTATTTCAAACCTCTGCTCATCGCTAGATGCTTGTGTGAGGGATGACAGTGCTATCTTAAAAGACAAAAGGACTGAGATACAAGCAAGATAAGGGCATGTTTACAGGAATTTCGATGATGTATCTGAGCTACTTGAAATCAGCTGGCTTGCATTATGTTAGCACAGAGTTCAGCACAAATTGCAGAAATAAATGCTTTGCTTTTTGAGATGGGCTGCAGCCTGCATGGAGCTCCATGGCGGCTCTGGACTGCCAGCAGTACCCAGCCTAGATTAAAGTTGGCTAAGGTATGTCCATACAAGCTGCAGCCGCAGCAGCAACTGCCATATGGCCACGCTCATGTGACCTGCTGCCTGACATTGGCTAAATCACTGCCAGGGCCAGCAGCAGAACAGGCCACACTAGGAGAAGTGCTGCCCCACTTGTTAAAGCACTGCCGTGAACACAGGCTGTGAGCTGACACTCATCAGCCTGCAGAACTACATTAATCAGTAAACTCCTTACGAATTTATTGGATCCATGTGGCTATGCTGAGAGGCCAGCAAGATGCTCAGAGATTTGAACAGTCATTTAGTCCACCGTTCTGCACAAATGCTCCCCCTCCCCACTTACCTCCTGTTATACCTTCCCTTCCATCACTGCTTTTGGCCTCATCACTTATTTAGGCTCTTTGTTCCCTCTGCAATCACTACCATGTACTGAAACCTCTCCCTGAGTTAGTACCCATTGCCAGTGGCTTCCCTAGACTTGAGTTTCTCCTGGGCAGCCATTTCCATTAAGATGGCTTTAAGAAATGAGCTGGTTTGTAATGACTAAGTAACCTTGGGTAGCCTTAAAAGAAGGTTCATTATCAAGGTACTGCCAACCATGAAGCTGGCATCCTTCCCTGCAAGTTGTACATCCACTCCCTCTGTCAACTCAACAATCTTTTAAAGACTTCTTTGAGGCAGGGATTGCTCTTTCCATTACATTCCAGAACCAAGCAGCAGTCACCCATTTCAAGAATGCAACCAGCAAAACACTGTCTCAGTCCATTATCTTCATCAAATTGCAAAAATATTCGGTCCATCGGTATTTCGCTAGCAAGCACAGCCTTTGCTGTGCCAGTAAGGAGGGGGGAAAAACCTAACTTTGAGGCATGCAGAGTTCAACAAGACCCAACCCTAATCCTATGGGATTTTCTATATATGCTTGAGAGTGGGGGGTTAATCTGAAATAACATAACAATATCTGGTTATAAGCTGTTGGCATTTTGAGTTTTTTCAGGCTCCTGTAAATGACAAGGAAGAATAAAATGTATTCAAATCCAGAAATATTTTTGATGCCTTGTGGAAATTATTTGGAAGGTGGCCATTTCTTTGTCATAATTTATAGTCACTTTCTGAAAACAGGAGAGCACTTTCATCTAGGGAATGATTAAAGAAAACATACAAGGTTACTTCTATCATATCTGCTCCTATTAGACCCTGGCCAAATTTTAAACCACAGTGCAGCACCGCAGTGCTCCTCACACAACCGCAATGCCTGCGTGCACTGTCAGTGCAACAGTGAACATGTTAAGGTTATGTGGTGTACATCAGCAGACACAAATGTAACTGTGTGTGCACCCATGTGTACATAAGTGGGATCATATGATTCTTAGGGACAACACTGGGAAAGCAGGAAGCGGGTCACTGTGACCTGGACGCCAAATAGTCCACAGAAACGTCCTCCTTCAAACAAGGCCCTGCAAAAAAGCAGGCTGAAATGTGGAAATTCATGCTTTCAAACAGCGAGGAATTCTGTGTTCAACAGCCTTAGGAAATCTGTGCTGTGGGTGTGGGCAAATATGGCAGAAGGTCCAGGTGCACTGAGGAAAGGGGCACAGAAGCTGCTACTCCATCCCAGCACATCCCCAATGAAGACAAGGGCACCTTAGCACAAGTTCTTCCATCATCATATTGCTTGTTTGCATCCAAGCCCTCACCTCTGCCATGCCACCGGACAAAACCTGCCTTACATACACTAATACCTCTTATAAACATTAATTTGACAATTGCCAGTGCAGCAGCTGCTCTATTCTTAATGAAAAACACAAAGATCATCCTGCCCTTCCTCCCCTGTTTCCTTTCCCAAGCTTCACAATCCCCTGCACTAATTCACAGAGTCTTTTCCTTCCTCCTCCAAACAATTGCTAGGGATATAATTATCCTTCCATTCATTTTGCAGGAAGTATTCCCCCTTCTATGACCTTTGCTCTTCACCCACCTCTTATACTTCTTCCTAGGTTACATCCCCATTGGCCTGTCACACCTTTTTCGGTAGCTACTCCTGACTCCGTAAGCCAAGGTTAATTCTAACCTGGTGCTGGGAATCGCTACCTGGGCACCCAGAGCTGCACCTGTAGCAGCAAAAGTGGCAGCAAGGGCACATAGGGGACTTCCTCTTCAGGACAATGACCTATGCTCTGCACCCCTTAGCTGGTAGCTTCACTTCACCCCTACCTGAAAGGCTCTGGTAAAATTAGGGCTTTTTTTTTTCGTCAACCCAAGTATTCCAGGCCTGTGTTACCTAGCACCAGCTAGAACATGAACGCAGACAAAGCACTCTGTAATCCAAACCCAAGGCACAACAACTGGATACAGGCAGCAGGGAAGGGACTACCAGGAAGCACCACTGCTGTGCACGACCTTACCTTGGCATCTCCTTTCCTAGGGGCAGGCTTTCCAGAGGCACTGTCACAAAGCAGAGCTGCAAGAGGGGTCTCCAAGGGAGCAATGAAATGGCTTTGCCACCATCTGAGCATGGGAAAGAAAGTCAAGCAACTCATCTGAAGGACGAAATGGCAGGGCAATGGTGACAGCACCTTGGAGCAAGCCAGGGGCTGCCCAGCCATGGCAGCAAGGGTGGAACAGGCCAGGACAGCCTTGGAGTGACATATTCTTTAGAATAAATAGAACTGCTCCTCTCTACCAGTACACACATCTCTAATCCAAACCATGCCAAACACAAAATAACTTCTACAACCAAACAAGGTGGCTCAGCTGCTTCCCAACTGCCTTCAATTTTCCTTCTCAGTCATAAAGAAATAAAGAGATATAAAGACTGCCATTCTTAATAATTTCTTTCTTCACACAATATTGAGATGTGACAGCAACCAATTCCCTAGCAGAGAGACTGCTGTTTACCAACATGCCACATACACCTCTTCAGACAAGTTTTAGTTTATAGGACAAAATTGCTCAAAAAAATTACATTAGAGTACATCCAGTGTTTTGGCAAAATACAAACACATTTTGTTTGCCACAACTTACCACCTATATTGTTTATTTAAAAGAATTTGTTTCTGCAGGTCAAGGAGTGAGTGAAAACTGACAGATGGACTCAGTCCTTCAGGATGCACAACAGGGGCTGAAGAAAAAAGGGATCTTTTATTGCTGCCAGGAGCTCAAAGCAGCCTGGATCTCCTGCTTGTCATCAGTCTGTTGTAGCCCCTCAACTCCAGCTACATATCTCATAACTTTTTATACTCTCAAAGGTATGTGCATGCAAGTTTGGCTCTCACATGCATTTCCCTGCTGCCCTTCCTGTAGCCCAGCGATCTTCCATCTCTTGTCATGCTAGGAAGAAAGTTCAAACTCAATGTTTACTGGCTCTAGCCACACTTTTTCTAAAGCTTCCCAGGCACAAGCAGCTCTGCAACACACACACGCTCCACACAGGCTTTAACACTAAAATGCTGTGAGACTGGCAGCCACCCAAGCAGTGTGGGTTATCTAGGGGTGAGAATGACTGAAATGGTTCGGGGTTCGCAGGGATTGGTGAGGAGACACCAGATTCCCAAATCAAAGATGGGGAACACTTTCATCATAGAGTGGAAACAGGGCTAAGCGATAAAACCTTCTTTCTTGAACATCAGTGGAGGCATGTGAAGGAAGGCCTTAGAAACTGCAGATTAACACATCTTCCCGCAGCAATGGCCAGTGGTTTCCTTGGTTGTCACACAGAGTTCATAGCCCAGACTACCAACTGGGCTACCACCACTCCTCTAAGAAGGGGAGAGAGAGATCTTGCTCTCTAAGAAACATTACGGTCTATCCACTCATTAAGAAATGATTGCTCAAAGCAACAGATAACATTATCTGATCTCCTGGAAAAATTAAATGTGAATATTCACTAGAATCACTTCCAGTTCCATTGTGACCCTGGAAATATTCTGAACCACTTTTTTGAAGGCTTAAGGGAAAAAAAATGCAAGAGAAGTTGCTTTAATGGACCACCATCTGCTCTGGATATGGACTGCATACCCACTACTTAGAAATGCTGTCTGCACTGGACACCATCCATCCTGGAATATTCTTTGAAGAATTTACTGGAGTATGTGGAAAGTTGTGATAGAGACAGTTTCCCACTCCCAGATTTCTATAGCACTATCCCTCATAATGCTCACATCTATCTCTGTGTGAAGCTGGCTCAAAGTTTGAAAAAATTCAGACTGAAACACTCAGGTCCCTCCCCATTAAATGAAGTATTTCCAGCTGAATGTCTAGAGAAAAAACAAAACACCCTCCACACCCCCTCCCCAGAAATCCAGACTATACCAGCCAAGAAAGAAGTGTTAAACATTCACCATAACAGAAGCAAAATCTGAATTATGCAAGTGGAGAGAAGTATTTGGATACCTTTTCCTAGAAAATGTATGCTAGCATCTGGGCTAACTGCACAAACCATCACCTGAGCTTCCACAGCAGAAGGCTGGCACACATCTGGTGTTCTAGCTACCTATTCACAATTTCAGTATATACCAAACAACAGCTCACTGCCTCTGCAAGAATTTCAGTTAGCAAAGCAGAGCAAAATATCTGGCACAAGAGGCAAGAGTTAATGGCACACATTGCGACTGCATACAATCACACTCATGCTCGTTCTCCTTGGATCCTTAAATTGGATCAGACACATCAAAATGAGTCTGGCTTGGTCAATGAGAAGGAGTTTAGACAAAATCAAAAAGGCTTCTGCATCTCTAGGTACATTATATGGGAAATATTTGAGATGCTACAGGTCAGTGGCATAGTCCAATGTATTTAAAGGGTCATCACTTTGCCCTTTCTACTGGCTTGAATCTCACCAGATGCAAGCGCATCCCCTTGCAGCTGGAACAAAGCCACACCATGCCCCACACTGATGAAGTACCTTGGTTTTACCCAGCTGCCATTCTTTCCTGCTGCTGTCATAGGTCTGAAGAAAGCCTGCACATACAGCTTTGCTGTTGTCTGAGAAACTTGGCCCCTTCACAAGCATCTTGTACCTAAGCCTCCCCCAGTCCTTTAACTCTAATTATCCTCCTCCCAGTAGTCCTTCTTCCTCTGGGACCTCCCTTCTTCATGTTTGCCTTCCAATTTGGAAATTTCCATCCCCCAACCTTTATCTGTTCCTACCACACTCGCAATTATTGTTGCAATCCCAGTAAAAAATACAAACTCAACAGCATTTTTCAGTAAAGAACAACTGTCTTTCTGAAACATGTGCTTTCATCAGACACAAGTTATTTTGTTCAGTATAGGGTGGCATTTAATGCTCCAAGAGACAAAGGAAGCAATGTTCAGTGGTCCCTTCTAGCCTTAAACTTCAAGAAATCCTTTTGATGCAGCTAATTAAAAGAAATAAGCACTCTTTCTAATATTAGTCATCAGCTATACTGTCCATTAAAATTTGCTTCAGCCTGCCAGATTAAAGGTTTTAAGTACGATATTTTCTTTTTACTTATTATGACCAGCTGGGTTTCACAGCATCATACAAGGAAATCTGTGGCAAAGCAAAAAAAAAAAAAAAAAAAGACCATCTGGCTATTTTTCCATTCTGACTTTTGCCCTAAAGGCAAGTCTCCAAAAGGACTTCCAAATCAGTCTATGATGCGGGCAATAAGGGCATGGTTAGAAAAACATCCCACAAATGACGTATATCAGTAACAGCAGTTATAGAGGGAACAACCATATAGAATTGTATACCTTGGGGCTGTTGCAGCATGTGGTACAACGATAGCAATTACCTGCTGAGAAAGTCCTGGAAAAGGCGCCGTATAGGGAAACCTGCTCTCCGAACTTTCACTGTCTCCAGCATCCCTGAGTACCGGAGCTGATTTAGCACCACATCTGGATTGAAGAGGTTTGGTGCCTACATAATGATCCAGATTCAAAAACAAATAGGAAGAAAGACAGAATAAGTGTTGATCTTGGTACTACTTCTTTGTTGACTTGAACAGTGACTGTTTCTCTGGGCACAGTCAGTCACAGGCTCTATATCCGTTTCTCTGTAGAAAGTCAACCCTGCATATTTGGGCTTGCCAGGTGAAAAGGGGATAGTTTTGGGTCAAAGAGAAAGCAACCTCACAATACTGCATGGTGCAGAAAAAGGGACAAAAGGGAGCTGGGCAGATCTGGGAAAAAACAGCCTGCAGACTGCTGTCAGAGACAGATCACAGCTGTAAAGCAATGATATAATGCATTAACACGTACAAAATGCAGAACCCTGACTCAGTTCTTTTTGCAGTCTCTCTCCAGTCAAACTGGAGACAAACTGCAGAATTCTTCTTCTGGCATCAAACCCCCATCAGGCTTTACTCTGCCATACCATACACAGTTCAAAACACACAAAGAAAATGATCGGTTCAGAGCTCCCCACCCAACTTAGCAGCGTATTCTCCTGCCACAGTTCACAAGAGCCAGCCTGTCTCTAAGCACCGTGACTTGCTCATGAAGCGTCCACCTCCTCTGCCTCAGAGCCAGGGATCTGCAGGAGACGCTTCCTACCGCACAAGCCCCACATTCCAGAACAAATTGTCTACAGGCACCACAAACAGGAGGGATTGCTGCTTCCACCACAGCTCTGGGCTCTGCACAAGCCTGATTCATCTTCCAGGTTTCATAAGCACAGAAAGAGGTGGGAATGGCTATATCATAGCATATTCAGCATGCAGTCTTTTCATCTGATTCCCAAGGAGGAGCGTGTATTTGTCCTCAACGGTAAAACAACTAGAAGGAAAAAGGGAAGGTGTGTGGGAACTGCACTTATCCTCGGTTTGGACCCTGACAGAGGCACCTGTCAGGCACTTGTGCAAGCGAGCGCTCACAAAGGCCTGTGTCGCATGCATACATTTTGCTGGAAGACAGACTTGCCTTTTCTGTATTTGGTTTGATGCAGCGGATGAAGAATGGGTTGGAAGTACTAAGCGTGGCCATCAGGGAATGGAGAGAATCCTAAAAAGCAGCAAGACAAAACCCAAAGGATCAGTCACTACAGGAGGAAAAGGGGCTACATTTGATGCAATAGGGTCTTCATGCAGCTCTCCCATTGCTAATGTCCTTTGACTCTGTGTACAAAAACTTCAATAACCCAGGAGATCCCTGCCTGTCCAGAACATACCCACACAGTTAGTTTACTCTAACACTGCTTACATGACCATCCTTGTTCTCAGAGCTCCACAGCTGATGTGAGTTATTTTTACAAGTCTCTCGAAATTTAAATGTAGGAAATGTAGGAAACTAAAACTGTGAAACTAACAGAAGGTAACAATCTAGGGGGGTGAGATTCATACTTGCAAGGTCCCCCAATAATGTTTTATCAGAATTGCCACTATACCTAAAAGGACACATCGCTTAGCTGAAACACCAAACCAACATGAATGATCAAAGAACCTCAAAGAACTTCATATACTTTGCAAAGTATTCTTTTCCTCTGCCACGCTGCTCAGTCTTAGCATCTCACATTTTACACCAGACAGAAATCCTTGGGGCAGTGGCACTGTCTTTTTTTAGCATTACAGCAT